GACAGACAAGGGAGAGAGGAACATTCCAGGCAGAAGGCACAGCCCACATCCATGTGCGAAGGCCTAAAAGAGCAGGATAGGTTTGGAAAACAAGGAGGGAGTTTGCTAAAGGTGGAGCTTAAGGTCCACGGAGGAAGAGATCAGAAAGGATCTTTTAAGTCAGGTAGAGTCTGACCTCGGACGTGATGTGGTTTTGAGTAGTGTTGGGGTCCAGAGCCGATGGCCAAGACAGAAATCTTGAGCCGTCTTTGGTGAAAAAAGATGATTTTATTAAAGAGCGGGGACAGGATCCGTGGGCAGAAAGCTGCATTGCAAGTGTGAGGGGTGACCGATTATATACTTGAGAGTTGGGGGAGGTAAGGAAAAAGGGAAGTTTCCAAAAGGACTTTCTATCTCAAGTATTGGTCAATGGGCTGCAGGTCATAAAGAAATGTAATTTTGTTTACATTCCCCGCTGCCTTTGTTTCCCACATCACTCGTGGAGGGGAGGGTGATGTTAGGGCTCCAGCAAATTGGGGTTCTGGGTCTCTGAAAGTAAGGCTATCCATAAGAATGCTTTTTTTTCCTTGCGGTACCTGGGTGGCTCAGTTTGTTGAGCGACTGCCTTCGGCTCAGGTCATGGTCCTGGAGTTCCAAGTCCCCGGATCGAGTCCCACATCGGGCTCCCTGCTCAGCAGGGAGTCTGCTTCTCCTTCTGAACCTCCCCTCTCTCATGCTCTCTCTCAAATAAATAAATAAAATCTTTAAAAAAAGAATGCTTTTTCCTTGTATATCACTAAGACAGCAAATTAATGGAGACTTGTCCTGTGGGACTGTGATCTTTACCAGTTAACCATTTGTTTTCCTTTCCCTTAGTTTTGGGGCAGCCAGAAGTGCCCGAGGAATGTCATAGATATCCCACCAGCAAGTGCGGGGGGGGGGTTGCGGGATGTCAACTTGTGCTTTGCCCTCCACTTGCCTTTTGCTGCCTCATCAAAGGGAATGTCTCCCTCAGGGCCAAAGCTATTCCCTCCATTCTTACCAAATCATGATTTAGTTATCTGTTTACAGGTCTCTTTCTTTGAACTATGGGCCCCTTAAGGGCTCAAACCCTGTTTCTTGTCCTTTGAATTCACAGTGCTTAATGTCCCTGGTAGCACACAAGGAATGTGGAAAGAGGGAAGGAAGGGGCTTCTGCAAGGTCACATAGCCACTCAGTAGCAGAGGTGGGACTCAACTCCCAGGCTCCAGAGAATTTTTTAAGTACTGAACCACATTCCTAACATTTGGATATGGAAGTAGGAATTGAAATCTTTCATTTAATGCAATCTTCATTGTATTGGAGTTTTTTCTTTCACAGCTTAATAAACTTCTGGCCACTAGTTAGACAAATTCAGATCTCAGAAATACTCCGTGAAGGGGCGCCTGGCTGGCTCAGTTGGTAGAGGTCGTGAGTTCGAGCCCGATGTTGGTCATAGAGATTACTTAAAAAAAAAAAAAAAAACACTCGGTGAAGATAGTTTGAACGCTAAGGATAAAGTAATGATTCCACAAATAATTTTTGGCAAGCTACAGCCTGCTCTTAGCTTTACCCTCTATACAAGTTGATCTCATTTAGTGCTGTTGCTGGCATTTCAGGTACAAATATCTGGAGAGTATTACTCGCTCAGGACAAAACAGCAACTGATCCTCTAAAGCAGACTAAAGAAGGTCTAAGCTCCCAAGCACATCAATTCAGTCAGGCCGGAAAAGGTCCACTTTAACATTTCTCTCAGGAATCACACAATTGGTTTTCCGAGATAACAAATCTGTGTTAAGATCCAAACATGACAAATGAACATCCATCATGTCTATCAGGGAGTCACATCACAGAATGCTTGTAAAGTCGTCTCATTTCTGCAGTCATGTACAGATTACTTAAACTGCTTTCTGCTATTCTCCTGGATTCTAGTTTCTCCTCATCCCAACTCACTCTGTAGGCTGTTGCTTGGTTAAGCGTCTTAGCTTGTATGACCCTGGGCAAGTCACCTAACTTCTCAGTGTCTCGGTTTCTTTATCTGCTAAATCAGGGGGCCGTGCCAGATTAGTGTTTTTTCTACTGTGTTATTTAGAGCCCCTCGGGTCCCTCAGAGATACCTTGGTGCCACCGAGCAGGTTGGGGGAAAGGTGGGCCAGAGGCTGAGTTGGAAGGCCTCTGCATATCCACTTCAAAACGCAGCAGCTGTTTTAGAAATTATGGGCCTGTCTCAAATCTGGTTTGGAAAACGAGTTCTGCCATTACAAAAAGTTTAAGTACCATTATGTTTACAGGATTTCCAAGGGCCCTTCTGGCTTCCCTAAACTAGGATTTTTTAATGTGAGAAAGTGTTTACCCATAGAAATGCAGTAAGCAACTCATTATTACTTTTTTTTCCTAACCACTTTTTAAGCTGCTATCGTCTCAAAGTAGGATGTGACGCAATACTTAACATGACAATTTGAATATGTACTCTGAAGGCAGTTGGCAACTCCCATAAAGACTGCATACAAAGTTTAGGAGCAAATTCAAATTCTGAGAATATATTCTTTTAGGCAACAGCAAATACACAGAAACAGATTATCTGTAGTCTCACAAGTTTTTAAAAGATTTTACTTATTTGAGAGAGAGTGTGAGTGAGAGAGAGAGAGAGAGAGAAGGAGCGGGGGAGGAGCAGAGGGGAGAGGGAGAAGCAGACGCCCCGCTGAGCCGGGAGCCAGACGTGGGGCTGGATTCCGGGACTCCAGGACTCACGACCCACCCGAGCCGAAGGCAGACGCTTAACCAACTGAGCCACCCAGGCGCCCCTTGTCTCACAATTACTGAGTTTCCAAGTCTCCCCCACAAGTACTTCTTTGTATTCCTGGCCGAGGCTGACCCTGCAAGTTCAGTTTACTAGAGTAATTAGAGGTGCCAGACAAACCAAATAGGTAATTCGCCAGAGCCACCTTTCTTCCTCAGCTTCTAAAGCTGGGGACTTGCCAGGCGAGGTTTATTAGAATCACCTGGGAAGCTTTTCCAACCTACACTTAACGCCCTACTCTCCTCTCCCTCCAGCAAAGCACTGTTTTAGCTTGGGGCTTCATTGCGTCCCACTTAAAAGGTCCTCTCCATCTTTTTAAATCCTACTCCATCTAAGATTGACAGGTTAAAAACAATTGAACTTAGAAGCCACTGGCTTTGTCACAACTGGTTGAGCAAGTCACTTAACCTTTCTGGTCTCAGTTTTTTTCCTCTGCTTTTTGCGGTCCCCTTCCAGCTTTGAAATTCTGACCGCATATCATGTCTAAGAAGCTTTCTAAAGTACTCTTTAGCATGGAATGACTTCTCATTGCTTAGTTTTCCGACAGCCTATGCAATACAACAGATCCCTTAGTTCTATACTGTCCTATATTGCCCTCTAGTTGTTTTTACATGAATTTTTTTTCTTCTCAACTATAGTTAGTTTAAAGTATATTTAGTTTAAAAGCTGATTTTCCAGTTTAGGCAGTGTGCATTCTGCTCTACATAAATCCCCTAGGACAACCTGGGGTGTGTCCGAGGTTAATCAGTATATATTTCTGTTCATTCGTTCAAAGCAATGACACCCCGTCTGTCAAAGTCTTGGAATTATATTTTTACATCGGCGCTGCCCAGTAGAAAGATAATGTGAACCGAATATGTAATTTTAAGTTTTCTAGGGCGCACGTTAAAAAAAGTGAAAAGACACAAGTGAAATTAATTGTAATATCTTTAACCCAACATATATAAAATATTAGCACTTTAACACATCAGTGTAAGAATTTAGATATTTTATATTTTTTCGTCATGTGTTCGAAATTGGGTGTGTATTTTACATTTACAGCACATCTCACCTCAAAATAGCCACATTCAGGGGTTCAAATAGCCCCACGTGGCTAGATGCTACCCTACTGACCAGCGCAGTCCTGCACCTTTGGGCTGCTTCCCAACTGATCACTTATCTTTCCATTCTTAGGACACCCAGCACTAGGTAAGACCCAGGCACTGGGTTAGCTGGAGGGGTGTAAAAATTAATCAGACTCGTTCAGGTTAAGGGAGATAGCTTGGTAGATCACTAGCTGTGATAGTACACTGTCATCGGTGCTCTGACAGAGAGCCACAAAAAGTGAGTATTTTCAATGGCTTGGCGGGGGAGGGGGCTCAAGGAAGGTTTCACAAAGTAAGTAACTTTGGAGAGGATGTTGGCTGTGGAGTGACTAGAATTGCAGGTTGTGTGTGTGTGTGTGTGTGTGTAGGAGCGGACGTTGGCTGTGGAGTGACTAGAATTGCAGGTTACGTGTGTGTGTGTGTGTGTGTGTGTGTGTAGGAGCGGGCCGCAGGGGTGTTTGACGGAGGGGTGGGTGTGTGTAGGAGCCGGGCCGAAAGGACGTAGGGGTGCAGGGTGTGCGAGTGTGTGTAGCAGGGCTGACGTGAAGGGGAGGAGCCCGGGGCTCTAGCGGCTGGATGGCCGGAAGCCGGAGGGGGGCGCCACGGGCATTTCCCACTCGCGCGCGCAGAGGACCGAACCCGGGGAGCGGCGTGGCGGCTGGGAGCCTCTGGCGGCCCCGGCCCCTCAATCAAGGGAGCGCCTCGCGAGGTAAGGCGCGCGCCTGGCCGGCTCCCTCGGCGTGCCCGCGCCCGCTCCGAGTTCAACCTTGTCCCGCCGGGGGCTAAGCTCAGAGCCCACGGAACTTCCCAGCCCGGGGTCGGCGACGAGGATCGACGCGTAAAACAGCACGCAGGGCTGGCTTGCTTGCTCGCTTGCTCGCTTGCAGCAGATGCCTACTACTTGCGACAGGCAGCAGCCTGCAAAGCTGAGTCTATGGAAACGGTTGCCAGAGTCGGCGACCAGCGGCTTCCGCAAGTCCTTTGTCGCTTTGATAACTATGGAGCGACGGGACCAATACGGCGCTCCTTCCGGTTTCGTTCCCGCTCGCCGCGTTCTTCTTTACCAAGTTTGCCTTTGACCCCGGAAGTGAGGTCTTCCGCGTTCCTCCCTCCCCCAAGATGGCAACAGCCGAAGACGAGTTACTGCTACCGCGGCTCCCCGAGCTCTTCGAAACCAGCAAACAGCTTCTAGACGAAGTGGAAGTAGCGACTGAACCCACCGGTTCCCGAGTGATCCAGGAAAAGGTGGTCAAGGGACTAGACCTCCTTAAGAAGGCTGCCGAAATGTTATCGCAGCTCGACTTGTTCAGGTAATGGGGGACAGGGTACTAACGGTTGAGAACGTAGGTAATAATGGTTATCAAAGGTGGAGCCATTGAGCCTGGGTGGAGGAGACCCTTTCAGAAGGCCTAGGAACCTTTTATTCCTACCTCCCAGCGCGATCTCCTGTGCATTGTTTACATTCTCCACCTGCCTTCGAGATGGTTGATATCCCACGTCTCTGCTCCCTAGTGTTGGCTGTTTGCATAGGCATTGGGTGTGAGCGGACAGCCACTTTCATTCCTCCTGCCTTCTCCCTCCACACGCCCACCGCGGCCCTCCCCCCCCCCCCCCCCCCCCCCCCCCTCCCAGGAAGCAAGGGCTGTAGTGCGAATGCCCGTCCAGGCTTCACAGCCTCCTCTTTGCTCTTTCCAGCCGAAATGAAGATTTGGAAGAGATTGCTTCCACCGACCTGAAGTACCTGATGGTGCCAGCATTTCAAGGAGCACTCACCATGAAACAAGTCAACCCCAGCAAGCGTCTAGATCATTTGCAGTGGGCTCGAGAACACTTTTTAAACTACTTAATTCAGTGCCGGTACTATCATGTGGCAGAGTTTGAGCTGCCCAAAACCAAAAACAACTCAACTGATAATAACACTGCTAGTTCCTCCATGGCCTATCCTAGCCTTGCTGATATGGCATCTCAAAGACAAGCTAAAATAGAGAGGTGGGTCAGTAGCTATAATTTGAGGACTGCCCAATGGCAGTGCTGTTGGGGCGGGGTGCATGTTTTGGGGGGCGGGGAGGGGAACAGTGGTGTCTGTCACTCTTTTGGTTCCTGTTGAGCGTTAGGACCTGATGAGAGTCAACTCTCTTGAGTTTTTCAAGAAGCCCCTGCTTTTGTTGAGATGGTCATACCTAACCATCAGGCCCCTGCTACCCTATGGTTGCCAACAACAGAATGTAGTTTAGCATAGTGTCTCCCAATTTTTTCCCACATCACAGCATAGCATTATTCATATGTACAGTGGGGTAGATACCTCTGAACGGCACAACATCTTGTAGCTATAATCCATTGATGATCCCCTGAGTGAGAAGTTCTGTTCAAACAGAGTAATGGATCAGGCAGGTAACATCCTGAACTACTCTTAGTCCTAGCACAGCTCCATCGTGTGACCTTGAACAAGTTGGCTTACTCTCAGACTTGAAAAGAACATGGAATGAGTGCTCACAGTGTCTAGGAGCCACTGTAGGCACTGGAGATACAAACTGAGTGGGGGAGTTCAAGTAAGTACAGGTGGTCTCCACCTTGGAGGAGTACATAGTCTGGTGAGGAAAAGAGGTATAGAAGCAAAGTAGCAATATAAAATAATGTGATAGAGAAGACAGGAGGGAAACCTAACCAAAGGGAGCAGGAGAGAGGAGAAGGCTCCCTGGAATAGATGGCTCCTGTGACAAGTTGTTTAAGGATGACTAGGAATATTATTTGGAGGAAGAGGAAAGGAGGGCATTAGCCAGAAGAAGTACTAGTGTTAGTAAAGCCACAGGGGCACTGAAGAGCACAGTGCTGGGGTGGGGAAACAACTAAGCGATTAGATGATGCTGGAACATGAAGGGGGGCGTGGAGAAGGGGAAGGAATGATGCTGAAGAATGTTGTGGGGTCCAGACCAAAGAGCTTGGGATGTGAGGAAGGTGAAGGAACAGCCCTCCTGCTAAGAACTTGGGGAGGGATTTGAATCCCAGTTCCACCATTTAATCACTCTCACTTTGGGTAAGTTGCTTAATCTCTTGGTGCCTTACTTTCCCCAGCTGTAAAATTGGATAATAATCGGTCTTTCTTCATAAAGTCGTTTTGAAGATGAAAAGAAATACACAAAAAGCACTTAGCACAGTGGCGGATGCAGTAAGTACTCAAAGTCAGCTATTCTGTCTTCGTTGCTGAGTACAGGTCGTGGAGTCAGAGGCCTGGGTTTGAGACCCAGCTTTACGTATAAGCCATTGGACTTTGGGCAAGTCATTTAACCTCTCTGAGCCTCAGGATTCCTCATGTGTGAAATCACGTTTAAGTAATAAGGGTACCTGTCTTGTAGGATTAAGAAACATAAATAAGATAGAGCACATAAAACAGCACAGTATCTGGCACATAGTTAATACTATATGAATGTCATTTACTAGTAGGCCATGCTAAAGAACCTAAACTTTGGTTCGTGACTGGGATCCACTGGAGGTTTTTGGTGTTGGGGTTTTTTATTTTTATTTTTATTTTTTTTTTAAGATTTTATTTATTTATTTGAGAAACAGAATGAGAGACAGCACGAGAGGGAAGAGGGTCAGAGGGAGAAGCAGACTCCCTGCTGAGCAGGGAGCCTGATGCGGGACTCGATCCCGGGACTCCAGGATCATGACCTGAGCCGAAGGCAGTCGCTTAACCAACTGAGCCACCCAGGCGCTGGTGTTGGGGTTTTTTAAAGAGGAGCATGGTCATGTCTGCATTTTGACTGGCACACAGTGGCAGCAGTTAGGAAGCAGAGTGACGGAGTTAGGTCACAAGTGACGAGGCCTCACTACGGCAATGGCAGAAGAGATGAGGGGGATATATTTATTTAGAACGGTTGAATCTGCAGAAAACCTGGTGATCAGTTAGTTCTGGGAGGTGGGGTAGATGGAGGCAACAAGGAAGATGTCCATGTTTCTGTCATACGCGCATGGCTTGTGGAACTCATTAAGATGGGGAATAGAAGAGGAAGAACAAATCGGGATAGGAGAGCATATGAATTCAGTATTGAGCCATGTTGCATTTAAGGTGTCTAGAGGTCATCCAAGTAGAGATATCTGGTAGTGTGTGGCTCAGGGGAGAGGTGTGGGCTAAAGAGCCGAAAATCAATTCATTCATTTGGCAAATATGTATTGAGCCTTTCTTGTGGGCCAGGAACTGTTCTAAGTAATGGAGAACCAGATGAAATCCATGCCCTCATGAAGCTTTTATTTCAGTGGAGGAGACAGACAATAAGCTGGTAAATAACAATGGAAGTTCAGGTGGTAATGGTCTATAAAAGAATAATGAAGCATGGTTCAGGGTTAGTTTGTGACAGTGACTAATTTTTGAGGAAATGGGAGAGGCTGATAGGAAGTGGAATTCAGCGTCCTGTCTTTTGTAAGAAGATGGGAGCAGCCCACTGGCATGTAACAGGTAGTTAAACAGTGAGTTTGGTATCCAAATAATTAGAGTACACCCCAAAATAGGACTGTAAATGCCATAGAGATAGAGGGTTCTAGAGAAAGACCAGGGAGTGAGCAGGAGGGATGAGGACAAGGCTTCAGCGAGATGAGCCTTGAATTGTGCTTAAAAACAGAAATCACAGATTTTCCTGAATGTAAAAGTAATAATAGTCACTGTAGAAAATCGGAAAAACAGTATTTTTTAAATTAAAAAGGCCTCAATCCTAGCACTCGGAGATGATCTTTGTTAACTTCCTGGTGTATTTCCTTCCAGATACGTAGTTATTATAGTTAATAAGTTTGGAATAATGCTGTATATATATAGTTTTTTTCTCCTTTTCAAACCTAACATTATATTGTGAATATTTCCCCATGTCTCTTGAAACCATGCTATTTAATGGTTGCATAATTTTCCATGCCATAGTTGTACCATCATCATTCAGACTCATCTTTTACTGTCAAATACTTAGACTATGTATAGGTTGGGGTCTTCTTTTATTTGTTTTTGTTTTTGCTCTTCTAAGTAGTATTATGAACAGACATCTTTAACTGCATCTGTCACTGTTTCCGTAGAGTAGATTTCTAGAAGGACCAGTGACTTAGATCAAAGGGTTTGAATATTTTAAGACTCTCGATGGTAGCAGCATTGCTATTCACAACAACAAGAGTTTTAGAATATATCCCACTGCCCTGGTCTTAGATGTTAACACTTAGAAAATCCAATTGGGAAAACCAAAAAAGGTATCTCATTGTTTTTATTTGCATTTCTTTGGCTAGAAAGCTTGGTCTTTGAACATTTTTTTAAAATGTCTGCCAGACAAGATAATAGTGTTATCTTTATGCTAATGGATCCCACATTTACATCACTAGCCCAGACTTTTCCTGACCCTCAGACTCATCCTTCCAACACCCTGCATGGATGTTTCACAGACGTCTCAAACTTAACGTGGCCTAAATTGAACCCTTGGCTTTTTAACCCCCAGTGTGCCCCCACACCCAGGTCTTCACCATCTCATTGAGTGGCACCACCGTTCACCAAGGTGTTTAAGCCAGAAGCTAGGAGTCAGCCGTCAGCCTTGGTTCCTCCCTTCTGACTCTCCACATCCAGTCCACCAGCAAGGCCTGACAGTTCTAGCTACAGAATGAATCTGATGTCCTGTTTCTCTGGACCTCCACTGTCCTACCTCAGTGTGGGCCACTAGCACTTCACCTGGGAGAGCCAAATCACCAACTCCAAGGCCCTGCACAATCTGGCACCTGCTTCTCTTCAGTCTTACCTTGTTCACTAGATTCTAGCCACAGTTGCCTCCTTTCAGTCCTTTGCACAGACCCAGCTCCCTCCTTCTACAGTCTTGGTACATGTGCTCTTTGCATGAAGTGCTCTTCATTTTTCTGTCTTCCTGGGCTTTGTCTCTCTCCTCTCCTGGAATGTAATAATTCCTTGAGGGCAGGAGCTGTTTCTGTCTTGTTCACCGTGGTACGCCTAGCACAGGGCCTGGCACATAGGAGGTGCTTGAGAAACATTGTTGACAAGCAGGAGGAATAACGAGCAAAAGCCCACGGCAGGGTAACTTGAGGTATGTACAGGGCATGCAGAGGAGTCTAGTTTGGCAGAAGCAGAGAGTACTGTGGTCAGAGGTCTGCAGAAGGAAGTGATGTGTATAGAATCCTGAAAGGGAAGAGAGAGGCAGAAAGACAAATTACCATGTTATAATAGTACTTCAGCTGGGAAAAGAGATAAAAATGAAGTGACAGCTGTCAAAGGTATTACTTTTGCAAGAAGCATTGATATGATTAGAAAACGCATTGTTGAGATCCTTTTGATTTTCTGTAAGTCCTCCCTCCTTCCCCACACCACCGCTTTACATACTGAGGCTATCCTACATAAAGCACCTAAATGGTATATCCTCTCTCAAAACCCATTTCTTTTTTTGGATCATTTTGTTAAGCACCATACATTACATCATTAGTTTTTGATGTAGTGTTCCATGATTCATTGTTTGCGTATAACACCCAGTGTTCCATGCAGAACGTGCCCTCCTTAATACCCATCACCAGGGTAACCCATCCCCCCACCTCCCTCCCCTCTAGAACCCTCAGTTTGTTTTTCAGAGTCCATAGTCTCTCATGGTTCATCTCCCCCTCCAATTTCCCTCCCTTCATTCTTCCCCTCCTGCTATCTTCTTCCTTGTTTTTTTTTTTTTAACATATAATGTATTATTTGTTTCAGAGGTACAGATCTGTGATTCAACAGTCTTACACAATTCACAGCGCTCACCATAGCACATACCCTCCCCAATGTCTTATCACCCAGCCGCCCCATCCCTCCCACCCCCCACCACTCCAGCAACCCTGTTTGTTTCCTGAGATTAAGAATTCCTCATATCAGTGAGGTCATATGATACACGTCTTTCTCTGATTGACTTATTTCGCTCAGCATAACACCCTCCAGTTCCATCCATGTCGTTGCAAATGGCAAGATCTCATTCCTTTTGATGGCTGCATAATATTCCATTGTATTTATATACCACATCTTCTTCACATATCCTCTCTACTCTGATTCCCATCTATGAGAGCGTGAGTGGTGGATTAACTGCACCTCCATTCTTGTGCCAGAAAGAGAGAAGTAGAAGCTGGGTAAGCAATGAGTCTGGTGTTCTACTTACTGAACTTAGATTCTGAAGTGACAGTTGGGTACATATCCATAGACAGATGGAAATGTAACTAAAACTTAGGAGACTGGTGGCTAGTGCTAAATCTTTAGGAGCTTTGGTGGATATGGATTGCCGAGGAAAAACATGTAGAGAGAAAAAAAGCCAAGGATAAAATCTTGGGGCAAGTTAAGGGAGAAGAAAGAGGAAGGAAAGAGCAATCAGAGGTCAGAGACTCAACAAGGTGCTTATAAAAGTCTGGGGAAGAGAGAGGGCAAATGTCTTGTACTCTTTGAAACTTCTCCCTGTCAAGCCCCCTCCCAGATACAGTAGCACTTAGTTTGTGTTACTTAATCACAGTGTAACTGTAATTCTCTAGACTTGAAACTCCTAAAGGTCAGAGACCTGGATTCACTGCATCTTTAGTATCCTAACTGTATCATTGTATCTTGGGACCCAGCCCAGTAAGTGGATCATAGTAGGTACTGGAAGTATCTTGGGAGGACCAGATAGTGTTCATCAGAAAAATGGAAGCAATATGGTGTTGCACATAAAGCCTGGACTTTGGAGTCAGATGCACCTGGAGTGACACCAGTAGAGTGAAAAGTTGTAACTGCTGATGACAGGATGATTGACAGAGTGAGGCCTGGCAAGATGTGGGTAGGGACAGGATCGATAGCAAAAGTGGAATGGTAGAGACCTTGTCCTGGTAAAGACAGCGTTAGCTCCTTAAAGACGAGGAAGGGTGAAACTACAGAGATTTTAAGGTAAAGAGGGACCCTGAATTCTCTGTCGGTTGGCCATCTGGTGAGTGTGATGGTGGCGTGGAATCCACAAAAGAGGAACAGGAGAGCTGAGCACAAGTGACCGACCACTCGGCCAAAGTTTGATCATTTGAATCTGTTGTTGACTCATTTGACACAAATTTATAATTTGTTAGCTCTCTGTAGCAGCCTGAGAACAGAAAAAGGGAATGGGAAAAGTTGTCCAGAGTCAGGAGGGTGACAGGCATTGGGGATTCTAAGGTGGTAGGGAGTGTTTCCATGTAATGGCTCACCGTGGGAAATCTAGAACAGTAATGAAAAGTCTAGGACAGTGGTTTTCAATCTGTTCCTTGGAACTCTAAGAATCCATCCCAGTGCCTGGGTAGGGGCGATGTTGGGAGCCCTCCTCTGATTTAACCAAGGTGGATTTTGATCTGTTTATTACTTATTGGAGTTCCAAGCTCTTATAAGAAGAAAGGGTTCTTCAGCTGAGACCAAAAGGTTTAAAAAACACTGGCCTAAAAAAAAGCAGGAGTGGAGGAGCTAAAGTTTCAAAGATGACAGGAGCGAGGAAGTGAAGAAGCAGTCCATGAATGGGGTTAGACCGCGAGCGTGCAGAGAATGGGAAAGGAAGCACAAGAACCTTATTCAAAGGACCGGTAGACTGACCCCGAATTTACCTTGGATTTTATACACTCTAAGGCCCTGGTAGGGTTTTTTTCCTGCTGTAGGTACATCCAGGAAAGAGGGTTGGGGTAGGAGTGGCACCAGGATTAAATGTCCTCAAGTGATACCTGTAATAGCATTTGTGAGCTAGGAGTTTATCTTTGTGGTGTTTTGCTCAGAGGCTACTGATGGTGGTGTTGTGACGGTTATTTGTAACACCATATAAACTGTTTCACGTGTTGGGTCAAAGGATCAGAAGAGCCTAAAAAGTTGGTATAATAAAGAATGTCTCCAGAGCAGTGGTTCTTGACTTTTCATGGGTCATAGACCTTGTTGGCAATCTGATAAAAACTACAGACCTCTCCTGGGCCAAAAAAAAAGTAGAATTCTGCATAAAATTTCAGGGAATTCAAGGCCCCCCTCCCCCTAGACTCTATCTGTGGACCTCAGGTTAAGAACTCCAGATTCGGGTGAACACCTGCAGAGGAGCATCTGATTCTGGACATCTAGAGTGGGGTTCCAGTCATAGGTATTTCAAAAGACTTCTCTTGGAAATTGTGGAACTTTTCCTTGACTCCTCCCTCTCTCCCCGCCCCCCTCTCTCAAGCCCTTACATCCAGTACATCTGTTTTATATTTTAAATACATCCATATCTCACCACCTCCCTATTTCAAGTCACTGTCTCTCATCTAGATTGTAGCAATATCCTCTTAATGGATTTCTCCGCTTCCATCCTTGCCTCCCCTCCCCCACAGTCTGCACTCCACACAACAGCCAGAGTGGCCCATATAAAAAAAGTTTTCATGTCACTCTATTCACGTCAAGTATTCTATTCACAAGCTTCCCGTGGCTTTCCTGTCTCAAAATATCATGGTATTTGATATTTGGGGTCTTACAGCCTACAGGGTTCTACAAATTCTAGCCCTGGCTACCTCTCTTACCTCATTTACCGTCATTCTTCTTCGCTCCATGCCAGCCACACTGGCCTACTTTCTATTTCTCAGACACTTCAAGCCAAGCTCTCTCCCACTCCAGGACCATCACATTTCTTTTTCCCCCCTGAGAACCCTCTTTCAGATACTGGCATGGCTTGCTTCCCGATTGAAGTCTTTCTTCCAACGTCGCCTCCTCCTGATCACCTTGTATACAATAGCACTTCTGCTTTTGTGCCATCATTCTGTCCTCTTTACTTTGCTTTTTGCTTCTTCATGGCACTTAACACCACCTGACTCATCATCTCTTTTTTTGGTTTCCACTAGAACAAGAGCTTCAGGAGAGCAAGGACTTTCTTGTCTACACCGCTTGTGTCCAGCACTGAGAACAGTGCCTGTCACATAATAGGTACTCAGTAAATACTTTTCAAATGAATGAATGCATCCTGGAAAAGGCAGGCAGGATGGTTGTGAGTCTTTATATTGGGATGAGTCAGGGGACACCTGGCTGGCTCGGTCAGTAGAGCATGTGACTCTTGATCTCGGGGTCATGAGTTCAAGCCCCATGTTGGGTGTAAAGCTTACTTTAAAAAAAAAGTGATCGTACAAATAAAAGCACTTAGTATATAGTACCTTGTCCTTGAGAAAAATACAATAAAAGAGAGTATTTCCTTGGTTCAAACAACATGATTCCCTCAGTAGAAGGATGAGCCAGAAGAGCTAAGATTGTTTTGCCCAGAAGAGAAGAGGTGACCACTTTTTTTAGGCTATTTCCCAAGGAATCCCTGTGTCAGTGGCAGGTAAACAACCCCTAAGATTCTGTGACTCTTTGAAGTGGTAGTTCCCCAATGGACATTGATACTAAGTATCCAACTTAGTAAGGGTTGACATACTAAAATTACTGCAGGACTCCCATCTCTAAAGATGATGGGAGGAGTTGCTCAGAGCAGGTTACTTCTGTATTTTTCTGGCTTCAGAAGGTATTTCACAGCCCCAGCTGATCCCTTCCTTGCCTTGGCAGTCTTGAGGACTTGCAGCCTTGGTGGTGAGTTCGGGGGTATAGAATCTGTATTTTTGCCAAAATGGAAACTGACATACTTACCGCCTGGTCACTTGGCAAAGGTATACTCTTACTGTGGCCTTCTTTGAAGGAATACCTCTTCACTTTTAAGTTCATGGGCAATGCTTTTCTGTGGAACAGATACAAGCAGAAGAAGGAATTGGAGCATAGGTTGTCTGCACTGAAATCTGCTGTGGAAAGTGGGCAAGCAGATGATGAGCATGTTCGTGAATATTACCTCCTTCACCTTCGAAGGTGGATTGGTATCAGCTTGGAAGAGATTGAGAGCATTGACCAGGAGATGAAGATCCTGAGAGAAAAAGACTCCTCAACAGAGGTAAGCCTGGTCGCTGCCTATCATATAGCTCAAGAAGCTAGTGTCAAGAGATTGGAGTGTTCTACAGGAGAATGATCGAATTAAAATCCTTTTTAAGTCTCCCTAAAATCATTGTCCTCATTAAGCTTAGTGGAGGAAGGCTGAAGGTTCACCAGGGTAGCTTTCTTTCTAGCTTGCAGTAGTGTTCCCCAGTGCTCTCTGACCTGTAACACACTTCTAGCCATGTGTAATTTTGTGACCTAAATTGGTTTGGGCTGTGGGACGTCTGAGTGCTGAAGGAATGCATAGGAGGGTGGGCCTTTAAAATCTGTGCTTGACTATAATAACCAAAGGAGAAAGGGGAACGGGATGGGAACGGAGAGGGAAAGTGGCACTGGAGGAGGGAGAGAACAGAGTAGAAAGAAGAAGATAAAAGGAACGATCGGGAACATATTTAGGTTGGGAGAAGGAATCCGAATTTAACCTTACACAGTGATGCACTCTCACACCCTTAGATCCCCCAAGTACGAGACACAGAAGGACTTTTCCGTGCACAAAATGTTGGGTATACTGATAAAGAAAACCTGGTGTGACACAGCTTTGGCTGTCTTTGAAAATCATCACCCTGTTTTGGAGCTGCTGCTTCAGAAGATTAGGCTCTGCTGCCACTTACTTTTTGGTTCAGGATACAAACGTGGATTGAGTTGAATTTATCAGCTCGCCACAGGCATTTATTTAAGTCCTCAGAGAAACCTCTTCCTAATTTGATTTGTACTAATTAGCCCAGGAGCTTAGGCCTGCGGGTAACATCAACCTCACTCCTGTTAAAGGATCCAAGAATAAGCAATTAGTATTCTAAGGCCATAAGGCCCTTAGAGCATATCTAGGTGACTGGCTTTCGGGCATTTTGAGGCTGGACTCTTCGGGTCTTCCCCTGCCCTGTTCGTTGTTGTTGTTGTTTAATGCTCTCTTATTTGGTATGGGAATTGGCTCTGGAAGTGATGAACCTAGAACCAAGTGAACATCTTTTCTCTGATCATACTTTCGTTTCCGCATGCCCCTGGATAGCCAAGGTTCCTTCAAACATTTCTGTACGCCACTATGTGAAAACTACCAGCACATTCTTTCCCCCTTGCCTTTAGGAACACCCTCTTCTAAAAACCTAGATGGGTTCTTGACAATTAATTGCATAGTTACATCGGAAGGGGGGTTTTAGAAGAAGGGTCTTAATGATTCTGCTTTAGCACTCAAGGCCAGGCTGAGGAAAGGGACTTCAGCTTCAGCTCAAGGGATTTAGCTGGACCATGGAAAAAGCCTTTGGAATCTCCTTCTTTGGAGGGGAAGATTATAAAGCCAAGGAATTTTTTTACTTTTGGTGAGATGATTTCTGGGAGAGCTTTCTCCTTTTCATTCAGCAGGGTACTCTGGCCTCCTCAGGAGAGCTCAGCAGCCTTCACCATTAGTATTCTGCTGCTATCTCTGAGAGACTGAGAGATAGGGAGCGGGCAAAGTTTGAATCCAGGGCTTTTCAAGCACCTGAAAACTTAAGAGCCTGCATAATGGGGTAGGCAGAATGGCAAAAATGCACTTCTGATAACTTAATTTCCTTTCCAGGCATCAACTTCTCATTCACCTCGTCAAGACAGGCCTCCAATGAAACCCTTTGTTCTCACTCGGAATGTGGCCCAAGCCAAGTAGGTAGTACTAAAAAGTGGGTTGCCTTTGTAGGCCCCCTGCTTTTATGGCTCAGTTGCAGTGCATGAGTAATGGACAGAATGGGCGTTGTTAAAAGGCCACGTCCTCGCCTGTGGTGGCTGTTCTTTCATCAGAGGGATGTTATCTCTAATACTTTCTGTATGTCTCTCTTCATCAGACATTTCTCTCACAAACCCAAGCTTAAAAATAGGCCCAAAAGAAAACCAACAAAAATAAATAAATCAGAAAGAGGAAAGGAATCTAATGGAGAATTGCCTACTTCAGTTGTTTCCCATTATTGCCTTCAGCAACAATTCTCAGAAGGACGTATTTGCCTACTTAGGATTTAATTCTGAGTTCTTGAGATGCTTTTCTATAGGGTGGCAGGAAAGTCTCCTTCCTCTGTGTACCTTTTAGACCCACCAACTATAAAGACCCCTTCCACGTTGTCGTCACTGCTTTGTGGGACATTGGCCTCTGGGATTGCTTTCTGGGTGATGATCCTGAGCTATTTATCTTCTCATGAAAGCTCTTGACTTTAATGCACCTTCCTGGATGCCTCTTTTTACATATCCTCACAGGAGTTTACACAACTCCTCAGAAGATACCTGGGCAGGGGAACAAGGATGAAACAGACACAGGTTTTGTCACTAAAGAGAAGAGGCTTTTTAGTAGCACTATTTATGTTTAGTTTTCTAAATGTAATGTGATTCTTGCAGAGTATTTGGAGCTGGTTATCCAAGTCTGGCATCTATGACGGTGAATGACTGGTATGATCAGCATCGGAAATTTGGAGCATTACCAGATCAGGGCATAGCCAAGACACCACCAGGTATGAAGGGGTAGGAGGAAAGTAGTTACACTCTTGGTTCCTTGCTCACTAGCGATTAAATTCCGACCAAGTACTGTTGCCCTTTAGGAGCAGAAGTAATCTGGACAAAGATTCTAGGCGATATTTCCTTTTTTTTTTTTTTTAAGGTTTTATTTATTTATTCATGAGAGAGAGAGAGGCAGAGGGAGAAGGAGGCTCCCTGCTGAGCAGGGAGCCTGATGTGGGACTCAATCCCAGAACCCTGGGATCATGACCTGAGCCGAAGGCAGACGCTTAACCATCTGAGCCGCCCAGGCGCCCTAGGCAGTATTTCTTATTTTATTTATTGTTTTTTTTTTTTAATTTTTTTTTAAGATTTTATTTATTTATTTGAGAGAGAGAATGAGATAGAGAGAGAACATGAGAGGGGGGAGGGTCCAAGGGAGAAGCAGACTGCCTGCTGAGCAGGGAGCCCGATGTGGGACTCGATCCCGGGACTCCAGGATCATGACCTAGCCTAAGGCAGTCGCTTAACCAACTGAGCCACTCAGGCGCCCCTATTTTATTTATTGTTAAGATAAATAGCAGATGATTCTGGGAGGATGGGAGCAGCGGCTGCATAATTTTGGAATCCTTCCAGATGTCCTGGCATTAAAAACAGACTAAGCAGCTAGATAGCAAAAGCCAAATTCCCATGGACGGCAGTTCCACTTCTGGTAATGGCAGAGTAGGTTGTACCAAGGCCAGTCCCTCCCACAGATAACAGTTACAAACTGAAGAAATTAAAACAACTACCCAAAGGAACTAGAGAATGACCAAGAGCAGACACAGGCTGGAGGGCAGTCAACACTTAGAAGAAGGGAATGGTTGGAAGTTCTTGAGGGCAGGGTCTTTGACTTAACTGTATTCTTGGTGCCCCACTTGGCAATTAGACCATGGTATATACTTGGAGGCATCTTCGGAAGGGAAAGGTGGAGAGGGTGGCCATTATGAAGATGGAAGCAATATGGTATATTAGAAAAAGGACAGACAGACCTGGGGTAACCAATTATTCCTGCCACTTAATAGATAGGACATCATCTAGCCCCTCTGAGCCTCTGTTTCCTTATCTTGTGTATTACCGCATTTGATCCTCTTAACAACCCTGTGAAGCAAGCATTCTTATCCCCGTATTAGGATGAAGAAATGGTGTCTGAGAACTGACTTACACAAAGTCAACATAGCTAGAGAGTGGCCAGGCTAGGATTTGAATTCGGGTCTTAAAATTTCCAATTCCAGGACTATTTCCACTCTAGCACAGAGAAGAGAAGAGTGGTCATTTGGAAGGGTTGCCTGTTTCTTACAGCTTCTCACCCATTGGCAGTCTGCAGTCATGGTGATGTGGGGGTAGGTGAAACTTAGAAACGTACAGTCTTACTGGTTAAGAAATGAGAGAAATGAGACGATATCCCTTAAAGGAGAAAACCACAGAGGAGGAGCCCTGATTTTCTATATACACCTCGCCTAAATCTCAGGCTGACACCTAAGCTATGCATGCCCGGGATGTACTCCAAGCATCCTAGCTGGGGCTAAAATAACTGAATGGAGGATTCAGCTGCTGCCCAATGCAGAGGAAAGAGAATTTGGAATTTTGGTACTAGACAAATGAACTGCCTGCTAAAATGGAAAATCAGTACTCTTTAGAGGAAAGAAACAGAATTCAGAGTCTCTACAACATAAAATTCACAAAGTCTGGGGTTTAATCCTAAACCACTATACATATGGGGGAAAGAAAAATAGGAAAACGTGACTTACACTCAAGAGGAAAAGCAGTCAGTGGAGACCAACCCTAGATGATGCAGATGTTGAAATTCGCAGACAAGGACTTTAAAGCAGCTTATTTGCATGCTCAAGGGCAGAGGGGAAAATATGCTTGTAATGAATGAAAAGAAATCTCAGCAGGTAATGTCTAATATAATTTTATATTTACAAACATACCTGCTGCCCCGAGGCAGGTATTATTTCAGTCCATGTGGACTATTGACCCCTCTTGAGATTACAGCATACACATTCCTAAATCATTGTGGGTAGACTTAAAAGTATCTTAACTTGTTTCTGGACATGTAACATGTTTATAAACCTCTTAGTTTTTAGCAGCAGTTAGAAAACACCTCCTATTAAAAACACTTCACAAGTTCTACTTAGTGTCAGCCATTGTTGGCAGTCTGTCACTAGAGAATCCAGCAATATCTGGTATGTTACAAGCTCTCAAGATAGCCTGAACTTCAAAAAGTTGTATCTGATGGATGTAAATTTGCCTCCTAGTTCACTTTGAGTCAGGAGCTAAAACTGTGAACCTAACTTTGTCTTATTGGTGGGTAATAACTGAAAATAAAGATTTTATTTTCATGCTCAAAAAAAGAAACAAGGAAAAAAAGAGGAATAGCAGCAGCAAAGTAGGAACTGTACACAAAAAATTCTGAAACTGAAAAATACAATATCTCAAGTTTGGAAACCCATTAGATGAGCTTAATAGCAAATTGGCAGTGGCAGAAGAAGGTGTCATTTGACTCAAAGATAGACCAGTACCAATTAGTCCAAAAAACAAAAAATTGGAAAACAGTGAAACAGAGCCTCTGTGACCTGTGGAATAAGGTAAGAAGTTCTATCATATGTACAATTGAAATAACAGTAGGAAAAGAGGGAGAGAAAGAGAAGGGGCCAGGAAAAAAATTGAAGAAATGATGGCTGAAATGTTCCCTAAATCAGTGAAACACAAATTTGCAGATTCAGAAATCTAATCAAGCCCCAAGCAAGTTAAACGCAAAGAAAGCCACGCATAGGCACATCGTAGTCAAACTGCTGAAAACCAAAGAAAAAGAGAAAATCTTGAAAGCAGCCAGGGATAAAGTACACGTTACACTTAGAAGAACAGTGATATGCATTGTTTCTGACTTCCCATTAGAAACAGTGGGAGCCAGAGACAGTGGAACAACATCTCATAAGTGTTGGGGGAGGGAGGAAGACCTGTCACCCCAGACTTTTATACCCAGTGAAAATATCCATAAAAAATGAAGGCATAATTAAGACATTTTCAGGTAAAGCTGAAGGAATTCTTCACCAGGAAACGGGCGTTACAAGAAATTCTGAAGGAAGTTCCTTAGGCTGAAGGGAACGAACTACGTTTAGCTTCTTCAGGCAAAAATTATAATATCGTCCAGTGGGGATTATACCGTATGTAGATGTAATACATATGACAGCCATAGCAAAAACGACAGACTAGATGGAACGATTTTTTGGGAGCTTCTCTTGTTTTATGGAAGGTGGTACGTAACATCTATTGCTGTGTAACAAATTACTCCAAGATGTTGCAACTTAAAATAATAAACATTTATTGTCACATATTTTCTGAGGGTGAGGAATCCAGGATCAGCTTCACTGGGTGATTCTGGCTTAGGAGCTCTTAAGGTCGCAGTCAAGCTGTCAGCTGGGGCAGCAGTCTTTTGAGAGCTTGACTGAAGCTGGAGGATCTGCTTCCAGCTCATTGGCTCATTCATGTGGCTGTTGGCAGGAGGCCTCCCCTTGTGGATCCCTCCATGCGGTCGCTCACAGCTAGGAGCTTCCTTTGACCCAGAATGAATGATCTGAGTGAGAATGATCAGGATAGAAGCCCCAGTATCTTTTATAATCTAACACTGGAAGTGACATACTGACTTCTGCCATATTCTGTTGGTCACATAGTATGGGAGGGGACTCCATAAAAGCATGACTACCAGGAGGCTGAGATAGTTGGGGTCCATTTATGAGGCTGCCTCCCACATGGTTCAATATTAACTCTAAGTAGACTGGAAAGTTAGGAAGGAATATTGTATTACCTAGAGCAACCACTTAAAAAATAATGCATCAAGGGGCACCTGGGTGGCTCAGTCGGTTTGAGTGTCCAACTCTTGATTTCAGCTCAGGTCATGATTTCAGGGTCATGAGATCAAGGCCTGTGTCGGGCTCATGCCCTCTGCTTGGGATCCTCCCTCTCCCTCTGTCCCTCCCCCTGCTCACACTCCTTCCCCCCCAATAAATAAATAAATAAAATCTTTTTAAGAAATAATGCATCAAGAGAATAAGAAGACAAGCCACAGACTGGCAGAAAATATTTACCAAAGACACATCTGATAAAAGACTTTTATCCAAAACATACAAAGAATTCTTAAAACTCAACAATAAGGAAACAGACACCCCCAATTAAAAAGTCGGCAGAAGACCTGAATAGACACCTCACCAGAGAAGATCTACAGAGGGCAAATAAGCGTATGAAAAGAAGCTTAACATCACATGTCATTAGGGAATTGCAAATTAAAACAACAATGATACCACTACGCCCATGTAAGAATGGCCAGAATGCCAAACACTGACAACACCAAATGCTGGTATGGAAATGGAGCAACAGGGACTCTCATTCACTGCTGATCGTGATGCCAAGTGATACAGCCACTTTGGAAGACAGTTTCTTAGAAAACTAAACATTCTCTTACCGTATGATCCAGCCCGTCCTGCTCCTTGATGTTTACCCAAATGAGTTGAAAACTGAGGTCTACACAAAATCCTGCACACAGGTGGTTATGGCAGCTTTATTCATACTTGCCAAAACTTGAAGCAACCAAGATGTCCTCAGTAGGTTGAATGGATAAAGTGTGGTACGTCCAGACAATAGAATAGTATTCAATGCTAAAAAAAAAAAAAAAGCTATCAGGCCATAAAAAGACATGGAAAAACCTTAAATACAGATTTCTTAAGTGAAAGAAGCTGATCTGGGAAGCTATATGCTACGTGATTCCAACTATAGGACTTTCTGGAAGCAGCAAACCTGGAGAGACAGTAAACGGATCAGCGACTGCCAGGGGTTAGAGGAGGAGGAGGAGGGACAAATAGGTGGAGCACAGAGGATTTTTAGGGCAGTGAAACTATTCTGTATGATGGTATAACAGCAGATACATGTCATTATATACATTTTTCCAAACCCACAGGATGTACACTACCAAGAAAGA